AAGCTAGAGAGAGGGGTCTAAAGCTGTGGCATAAAACCAAGCTAGAGAGAGGGGTCTAAAGCTGTGGCATAAAACCAAGCTAGAGAGAGGGGTCTAAAGCTGTGGCATAAAACCAAGCTAGAGAGAGGGGTCTAAAGCTGTGGCATAAAACCAAGCTAGAGAGAGGGGTCTAAAGCTGTGGCATAAAACCAAGCTAGAGAGAGGGGTCTAAAGCTGTGGCATAAAACCAAGCTAGAGAGAGGGGTCTAAAGCTGTGGCATAAAACCAAGCTAGAGAGAGGGGTCTAAAGCTGTGGCATAAAACCAAGCTAGAGAGAGGGGTCTAAAGCTGTGGCATAAAACCAAGCTAGAGAGAGGGGTCTAAAGCTGTGGCATAAAACCAAGCTAGAGAGAGGGGTCTAAAGCTGTGGCATAAAACCAAGCTAGAGAGAGGGGTCTAAAGCTGTGGCATAAAACCAAGCTAGAGAGAGGGGTCTAAAGCTGTGGCATAAAACCAAGCTAGAGAGAGGGGTCTAAAGCTGTGGCATAAAACCAAGCTAGAGAGAGGGGTCTAAAGCTGTGGCATAAAACCAAGCTAGAGAGAGGGGTCTAAAGCTGTGGCATAAAACCAAGCTAGAGAGAGGGGTCTAAAGCTGTGGCATAAAACCAAGCTAGAGAGAGGGGTCTAAAGCTGTGGCATAAAACCAAGCTAGAGAGAGGGGTCTAAAGCTGTGGCATAAAACCAAGCTAGAGAGAGGGGTCTAAAGCTGTGGCATAAAACCAAGCTAGAGAGAGGGGTCTAAAGCTGTGGCATAAAACCAAGCTAGAGAGAGGGGTCTAAAGCTGTGGCATAAAACCAAGCTAGAGAGAGGGGTCTAAAGCTGTGGCATAAAACCAAGCTAGAGAGAGGGGTCTAAAGCTGTGGCATAAAACCAAGCTAGAGAGAGGGGTCTAAAGCTGTGGCATAAAAACAAGCTAGAGAGAGGGGTCTAAAGCTGTGGCATAAAACCAAGCTAGACAGGGGGGTCTAATTATGTGGAATAAAACAAGCTAGAGAGAGGGGTCTAAAGCTGTGGCATAAAAACAACTAAGAGAGAGAGAAGTACAAAGTCGTTGCATAAAAAGAAGCTAGAGAGAGAAGTCTAAAGCTGTGGCATAAAAACAAGCTAGAGAGAGGGGTCTAAAGCTGTGGCAGAAAACCAAGCTAGAGGGAGGGGGTCTAAAGCTGTGGCATAACAAGAAGCTAGAGAGAGGGGTCTAAAGCTATGACAGCAAGCTAGAGAGAGGGATCTAAAGCTGTGACAGCAAGCTAGAGAGAGGAGGGGTCTAAAGCTGTGGCATAAAAACAAATTAGAGAGAGAAGTACAAAGTCGTGGCATAAAAAACAAGCTAGAGAGAGGGGTCTAAAGCTGTGGCATAAAAACAAGCTAGAGAGAGGGGTCTAAATATGTGGAATTAAAACAAGCTAGAGAGAGGGGTCTAAAGCTATGACAGCAAGCTAGAGAGAGGGATCTAAAGCTGTGACAGCAAGCTAGAGAGAGGAGGGGTCTAAAGCTGTGGCATAAAAACAAATTAGAGAGAGAAGTACAAAGTCGTGGCATAAAAAACAAGCTAGAGAGAGGGGTCTAAAGCTGTGGCATAAAAACAAGCTAGAGAGAGGGGTCTAAATATGTGGAATTAAAACAAGCTAGAGAGAGGGGTCTAAAGCTATGACAGCAAGCTAGAGAGAGGGATCTAAAGCTGTGACAGCAAGCTAGAGAGAGGAGGGGTCTAAAGCTGTGGCATAAAAACAAATTAGAGAGAGAAGTTTAAAGTTGTGGCATAAAAACAAGCTAGAGAGAGGGGACTAAAGCTGTGGCATAAAAACAAGCTAGAGAGAGGGGTCTAAATATGTGGAATTAAAACAAGCTAGAGAGAGGGGTATAAAGCTATGGCAGAAAACCAAGCTAGAGAGAGGGGTCTAAAGCTGTGGCATAAAAACAAGTTAGAGAGAGAAGTCTTAAGCTGTGGCAACAAGCTAGAGAGAATCAAACCCATTACATATGGACTTGTGATCTGTCAAAGAAATATACTATAGAAAGAGCTAGAGAGAGGGTATAAAGCCGTGACATCAAATAAGCTAGACAGATTGTCAAAGCGTGGCGTGTATGGACTAGACAGTGTGTCGAAGCGTTGTGTGTATGGACTAGACACTGTCACATAAAGGCTGTACAGAGGAAAGGTTGCAGAAAAAGGCAATGAAGGGCTAGTAGTGTGTCACAGACGGGACCAAAAGGCAACAAAAAATACAGAAAAAGAAACAGTAAGCTACAGAAAAGCAAGAAAAATGACTGCACAAATGGACAAAGAGACATAATGGCAAAGACAATAGAGAATCACGGTCGATAAAAAGAACAGGAAACAAAATGTGCAAGACAGTACGACAAAGCTGATGAATAAACCCAATAACATTCCAGCATAAAGAATGGTATCATCTAGCAACAATAATACAACAGAACAGGTACAGAAATAAACAAATATAGATACTGAGGAGATAACAACCACAACCAGTGACCAAAAACAAGCAAGACAACCAGTAAATATTTCATGTAAATTACTACAGCAGAGTTCGAGTGTTGTCTAATTTGTGTCTGGTATGAAAAAGATAGGCGAAAACAAGAACAAAAGATTCTGACAAACGTGTACGACAAAATTTTAAATCAAGAACAACTTATTATGACATTATGCATGGGGAAAGATAAGCACAGGATAAGACAAAGACTTGCACAAGAAAGTAGCAAAACTGGCTATGACACTTCAACAAAACAGGCGACCTAGTACCAAAAAGGTGGACGGGAACCGTGAAATACATGTACCACTAAACAGCATATCAATTACAGCGAGAAATAGCTACAACATAACGTCAGGACAAGCAACAAGACATCAACATAACGTCAGGACAGGCAACAAGACCACAACATAACGTCAGGACAGGCAACAAGACCACAACGTAACGTCAGGACGAGCAACAAGACCTCAACATAACGTCAGGACAAGCAACAAGACCACAACGTAACGTCAGAACAGGCAACAAGACCACAACGTAACGTCAGGACAGGCAACAAGACCACAACGTAACGTCAGAACAGGCAACAAGACCACAACGTAACGTCAGGACGAGCAACAAGACCACAACATAACGTCAGGACAGGCAACAAGACCACAACATAACGTCAGGACGAGCAACAAGACCACAACATAACGTCAGAACAGGCAACAAGACCACAACGTAACGTCAGGACGAGCAACAAGACCACAACATAACGTCAGGACAGGCAACAAGACCACAACATAACGTCAGGACGAGCAACAAGACCACAACATAACGTCAGAACAGGCAACAAGACCACAACGTAACGTCAGGACGAGCAACAAGACCACAACATAACGTCAGGACAGGCAACAAGACCACAACATAACGTCAGGACGAGCAACAAGACCACAACATAACGTCAGAACAGGCAACAAGACCACAACGTAACGTCAGGACGAGCAACAAGACCACAACATAACGTCAGGACAGGCAACAAGACCACAACATAACGTCAGGACGAGCAACAAGACCACAACATAACGTCAGAACAGGCAACAAGACCACAACGTAACGTCAGGACGAGCAACAAGACCACAACATAACGTCAGGACAGGCAACAAGACCACAACATAACGTCAGGACGAGCAACAAGACCACAACATAACGTCAGAACAGGCAACAAGACCACAACGTAACGTCAGGACGAGCAACAAGACCACAACATAACGTCAGGACAGGCAACAAGACCACAACATAACGTCAGGACGAGCAACAAGACCACAACATAACGTCAGAACAGGCAACAAGACCACAACGTAACGTCAGGACGAGCAACAAGACCACAACATAACGTCAGGACAGGCAACAAGACCACAACATAACGTCAGGACGAGCAACAAGACCACAACATAACGTCAGGACAGGCAACAAGACCACAACATAACGTCAGGACGAGCAACAAGACCACAACATAACGTCAGAACAGGCAACAAGACCTCAACATAACGTCAGGACGAGCAACAAGACCACAACATAACGTCAGAACAGGCAACAAGACCACAACGTAACGTCAGGACGAGCAACAAGACCTCAACATAACGTCAGGACAGGCAACAAGACCACAACGGAACGTCAGGACGAGCAACAAGACCACAACATAACGTCAGGACAAGCAACAAGACCTCAACATAACGTCAGGACGAGCAACAAGACCACAACATAACGTCAGAACAGGCAACAAGATCACAACGTAACGTCAGGACGAGCAACAAGACCTCAACATAACGTCAGGACAAGCAACAAGACCACAACATAACGTCAGGACGAGCAACAAGACCTCAACATAACGTCAGAACAGGCAACAAGACCTCAACATAACGTCAGGACGAGCAACAAGACCACAACATAACGTCAGAACAGGCAAGAAGACCACAACGTAACGTCAGGACGTGCAACAAGACCACAACATAACGTCAGGACGAGCAACAAGACCACAACATAACGTCAGGACGAGCACAAGACCACAACGTAACGTCAGAACAGGCAACAAGACCACAACGTAACGTCAGGACAGGCAACAAGACCACAACATAACGTCAGGACGAGCAACAAGACCACAACATAACGTCTGGACGGGCAACAAGACCACAACATAACGTCAGGACGGGCAACAAGACCACAACATAACGTCAGGGCAGGCAACAAGACCACAACATAACGTCAGAACAGGTAACAAGACCACAACATAACGTCAGGGCAGGCAACAAGACCACAACATAACGTCTTGACAGGCAACAAGACCACAACATATCGTCAGGACAGGCAACACGAATTTCCTGGCGTCTCCACTTTGTATATCAGGTGACTTACCTGACGTTTACCGACTTACCGTTTGTCTCTTCTCTGTATTCCACTGACCTAACCGACATTATGTTTCCCATGTCACTTACTTGACGTCAGTAATCGTTGCATTGGTGTCGTTGTAACTGACATAGCCAGTGTGGTTATTTGGGTAGAAGTACGCCCAGGATTTCTGTTTGTTGGGGATGAGGAGGTGGTGGTGGTGGCGGTGGTGGTGTTACTGGCACTGTTAGGGGTTGTGGTGAAGGAAAGCGTGGTGGCGGACTTGGTAAAAGGTGTTGTTCTGGATGATGGCCGACGTGTTTTACGTGGACGTTTTGTTCCATCCTGGTCATCGTTTTTTTCCTTGTCATCTGATTCAGTTTCTTCTTGATCGTCGTCTCGGTCTTCCTTTTCTGTTGAAGAAAAAGAATAATTGAAATACTGACATAGACGTGTGAAAATGGATAAAACACGTATAAACCGGAACTGATGGAGAGAGGCACAAACTGATCAGAACGACAAAGGGACATACACTGGCGGGTATTTAAGCATTGAACTGCTTTTGTATGGTATTTATGATCTATTTGAATGACACAGCTTTGTAAGCAAACAACATAATGCGCGCTAGCAAACACTTCAATTTTATTCCACAATTCAGTATCAATACAATTGCGTATGATATGTCTATAGGGTGATTTAAGTTTATCAATAGAACTCTGAGCTGAAAGTTAGATTTGAAATTGTTTTGATTTTTCCCCGGAACAAATTTCGCGCATGGACAAATACAGTGAACACCGTAAATCCGACCTTGCCCTCCACGAAGGAGTTATTTTTGGAAGTTAATTCGAACTTTTTCTCTTCGCTCATTTTGTGAAGAATCCAGGCGTGAATTCATTTGTTGATTGTATGGGAACCTGACAACAGTCGGTAGATTCTATAACAGCATCGTTATTTGACATGTCGTCAGAAATCAGGAACCGTGGATGCGAGACGCGTGAAACTGATAGCGTTTGAAGTGAGTGATCTTGCGACGGAGCACAGGTTCGTTACAAAATGTCTGAAATGTTTATGTGTGCTGTGACTCATATCAGTAGGTCTGTAACATATGTGTCAGTAGGTCTATAGAATATGTGTATTTCAGACATTTGTAACGAACCCCTGTTGATCAGTGCAGTGTAACAGACGATATTTCTGATAAATTGCATGAGCGTTAAAATTGTTTCCATTGCCGGCATTGGTGATTTCAACCGATGTGCATTTTGTACGATATTGCAGACCTTGGTCTTGTTTTCGTTGTAATAAAAGTGTTTTTTATTTTATTTTATATTTTGCACATAAATTTACAATGACATTGTCAAATCTCACAATGCCCAGCGATATTTCAGCAGCCGTCATGTTTAGTTATATTGGATATTGTAGTTCCGGTCAGTGTTGTATTAATACGCTAAGAATTTTGTCTCGTGATGCATGGTGATTAAAGTCCCATCAACGACACAGCTTTCAAAGAGGCTATATAGTGACAATGTCATGCAAATGTAAATATATCACATTAGCCTTCATATTAAGCCATACGTCTACATTACACAACACTTTCTCTATTTTGGTATTCTTAAAAAGGACGACTCCTGAATAAAACGAAACCTCTGATACACATTGTGAACACTGGATATAGTATACTTACTTTCAATATGACGGTACACTGTTCATATGTGGCTTTTTGTTTAAGTTATACACAGTGGTCAGTTTATCGGCAGTGACCGGGCACTGGTATGCACCTTTTCACAATTCATTTCATTTTAGGAGGACCAGTATACTCAGGTGAACGGTTGTAGATGTGTGTGTATGCAGTGTTGCACTTGTTATGGATCCGTTTTTCCAGTGGCTCATATGTCATGGACAGTTTTGCTAATTTCATGGCCAGTTTTGCTAATTTCACGGTTCACGGTTTTGCTAATATCTTGTGCACGTTTGTCCGAATCTTTTGTTCTTGTTTACAGAAATCGTAATACTCGACCATCTTATATTCCGCTCTAGGCAGGTGGAGTGAGCAACAACTTTAAGTAATAAACGCTAGGTTTGTTTTGAAGACAAACAGTGCCTGAAAAGTTGTTTTGCGAACTTTTGAAAACATCCGATTCCTTTGACAAGTACAGGGTAAAAATGACCGGTGTTTCGACTCTAAACCGCTGAAAACACCTTACTAAGCCACAATGTTTTTATCCAATAAAGTCAGCTGTCAGAAAGTATCGAGAAATTTCGTCCAAATAACACTCTTATATTGCAAACAGTCAGAGAGACGAAACGTTCCAGCCTTTTACTAAAGGTTAAGTGCTTTAGACGACCATATCCCGTCGCCGCCGGGGATCGAACCCGTCGCAAAAAGGCGGGTGTCCTACACAGTGTGGTGTGTGGCTCCTTGCTGAATTTTATTCTATTCTGACTGTACTTTACAACAATTTTGAAATAAGTTTTATTTATATTTATTTCCACTATATCATGGAAAGAACCTCCCATGGGGTCTTATGTTGAAGGAAACTGGAGTAACCGGAAAAACATCCTTAAAGTGTAGGGTACACCACAATCAACACGTTATTACAAGTATGGTTTTGTGGAGTATAGGTCATAGTAACGAACCTTCCCATAAGCTAGTGCTTAGACCCGGGTTCTACTTTCTCCACAGGGATGTGGAAGGGTGAACTCGGTCACATGATATTCATATCCGTCGTCAGACGTTATTTTCAAGACGACGTGATTTGTTTAAAGTGTTGATATAAATGTGACAGAGATGGTGTAACACCAGACGAAAGTTCGATGTTAGCATTCAAGTTCAAGGTCACGTTGTGTATGAATAATGTCACGTTTTGTACAATATCACTTTATACTATTCGTGAAGTCAGGGATACGTCGCGTCTGATCACCATTTCGCGTTTCGCCAAGGTCAATGTCTTGTTACACATGATAAGTGTTACGTTCCACGTGGTAATTAAGTGCCATGTCGCAAATGGTCGGTCTCATGTAACCCCTGGTCAGTATCATGTTACACGTACACGTGATCAGTCTCATATTACACATGGTCAGTGTCATTGTACACGTGTCATTGTACACCTGGTCAGTGTCACGTTACCCGTGACCAGTATCATGTTACGTAATGTCATTATCTTTTTACACGTGGTCAATATCATGTCTCCTTGGTCAATATAATGTTTCCCTTGGTCAGTGTTACGTTACACGTGGTCAATGTCATATTGCACGTGGTTAATGTTTTATTATCCGTGGTCAATGTCATATAACACGTGGTTAATGTCAAATTATCCGTGGTCAGTGTCATATAACACGTAGTCAATTTCATAGTTCACCTAGTCAGTGTCATGTTACATCATATCTTTATCTGTTTACACTTGGTAAATGTCACGTCATCCTTGGTCAGTGTCATATTACATCATATCTTTATCTGTTTACACGTGGTAAATGTCACGTCATCCTTGGTCAGTGTCTTAATACGTCAGGTCATTTATTTTTTTGTACGTGGTAAATGTCAAGTTTCCCGTGGTCATTGTCATGTTTCCCGTGGTCAATGTCATGTTTTGTAACATCAGCATCAGGTTACACTTAGTCAGTGCCACGTTATGCAATGTTAGTATATTTCTACCATTTCTCGTCTTAATTTTGTTGCGTCACACAATATCATACAGAAGTTATAACTCTTATAGTTTCGGAATCAGTTCAGAAACATGCGGATGTCGTATAACTCACCTGATCTATCCGAGGAACGTTTGCGCTGGTTATTGTTTTTGCGATTCCCTTCAGATCTTGAGCGTAAAGCTGTCAACGGAAATGATAAAAAGGAATTAACATATTTACATATTGTACTTTGTGTTAATGATACAATCTCGTGGAAATCTTCCCTTGTCTAACATTTACATTAAATAATGACTGCGTGTAGACGGCTACTGTTATTCCTATTTCCCTTCCATACATACGTTTTCCCTGGGAACCTCTCATCTCTCGCTCTGGTCACTTTGGACACTGGTTTAACACATGTATATCTGGACCTATGTAGAGCGTGATTTTGTTTGTATATCGCGGATGTACGTTGTGGTGAGCTGGTGAATCATTCCGCCTCATTCATATGACTATGTAATGACGCGACACCGACAGGGCTCATGGACGTAATATTTCCTTTTATATCAGTGTGTTGATACGGAATCTACGAAGGGACGTGACAAAATAACCTAAACACATATTTTGGTAAAACTGTCAATAAAACTAATAATCCTTAATTACCTCTGTAACTACCATCTGTTTATATATACAACCAGACTCTAAAAATCATCTGTCTATACCTACCATCTGTCCGTCTATAACTACCACTTGTCTATATCTACCATCTTGCTATAACTATCAACTGTCTACATATACCGCCGTATGTAACTACCACTTAGTCTGTAAATACCAGATGTCTACATATACCAACTGTCTATATATGTATTTACCACCTGTCCATATCTACCACCCGTCTTTATCTATCACCTGTCTATTTATGTATTTACCACCTGTCTATATGTATGTATGTATCACCTGTATATTTATGTATTTACCAATTGTCTATATCTACCGCCTATCAATAGCTTCAACCTGTCTTAAAGTTCTGCCTGTTTATAAACGTAACTAGGGTCTGGTCCCCAGTTTCGTTTACTAGCGGTACGTGTTAATGAACAGCTGTATTTATTTATATTGCTTTGATATCCTATTCTATCTATATCATAGCGAATTGTATGAATATTTGAGCTCCTTCGGTGGTGTTTTTATAGACAGGTTTATATGTAACGCCGACCACTTACCACTCTGTTATAAAACAGAACTAGTAAGTCTGAATCACAAGCATGCCGGGAAATGATCTGTCATTTTTATTATATAAGTGCATGTCTGTGAATAAAATTGAACTTCCTAGTGAGAACAATTGTACATGTGTACCTGTAAACAGTGTACAGTAGAAAGTTAAAGATTCTAATCTTACTGAACATGTTTTTCTAACTTTGTAAATGAGCGAATGTGCTAGACATGCTATATATCACCAGGGTCATCAACAAACTAACAAAATAAACTGGGTTGGCACTGAGTAATTCGGGGAAGCCCGGATGACCAGTTCCGGACTAACAGGAAGTATACTTTAATCGCTAACTGACGAAGAGCGAACGCTTCAGCATATCAACACATTATACTGTAACCCCATTGACGAATATACAGCAACTAAAACAACACATACTATTATACAACAATCCCGACAAAACTTATCATAAAACAACTAAAACTGCACATATTATAAAGTAACTAAAACTACACAAAGTATAAAGTAACTAAAACTACACAAAGTATAAAGTAACTAAAACTACACATATCATTAAGTAACTAAGATGACACATATTATAAAGTAGCTTAGACAATACGTATAATAAAGTAACTAAAACTACACATATCATTAAGTAACTAAGATGACACATATTATAACTTAGGCTATACGCATTAAAAAGTAACTAAGACTGCACAAAGTATAAAGTAACTAAAACTACACAAAGTATAAAGTAACTAAAACTACACAAAGTATAAAGTAACTAAAACTACACATATTATAAAGTAACTAAGACTGCACAAAGTATAAAGTAACTAAAACTAACTAAAACTACACATATTATAAAGTAACTAAAACTACACATATTATTAAGTAACTAAAACTACACATATTATAAAGTAACTAAAACTACATATATTATAAAGTAACTAAAACTTCACATATTATTAAGTAACTAAAACTACACAAAGTATAAAGTACCTAAACCTACACATATTACAAAAGAACTACACGTATTATAAAGAAACTCAGACGTGTATAATAAAGAAACTAAGACTCCACATATTATAAAGTAACTAAAACTCTACATATTATAAAGTAACTAAAACTTCACATATTATAAAGTAACTAAAACTGCACGTATTATAAAGTAACTAAAACTGCACATATTATAAAGTAACTAAGACTGCACAAAGTATAAAGAAACTAAAACTAACTAAAACTCCACATATTATAAACTAACTAAAACTACACATATTATAAAGTAGCTAAGACTGCACAAAGTATAAAGTAACTAAAACTGCACATATTATAAAGTAACTAAGACTGCACAAAGAATAAAGTAACTAAAACTAACTAAAACTACACATATTATAAGGAAGCGAAGACTGCACATATTATAAAGTAACTAAGACTGCACAAAGAATAAAGTAACTAAAACTAACTAAAACTACACATATTATAAAGTAACTAAAACTCTACATATTATAAAGTAATTAAAACTACACATATTATAAAGTAACTAAGACTGCACAAAGAATAAAGTAACTAAAACTAACTAAAACTCCACATATTATAAACTAACTAAAACTACACAAAGTATAAAGAAACTAAAACTACACATATTATAAGGTAGCTAAGATTGCACAAAGTATAAAGTAACTAAAACTGCACATATTATAAAGTAACTAAGACTGCACAAAGTATAAAGAAACTAAAACTACACATATTATAAGGAAGCGAAGACTGCACATATTATAAAGTAACTAAAACTCTACATATTATAAAGTAATTAAAACTACACATATTATAAAGTAACTAAATCTACACATATCATAAAGTAACTAAAACTACACAAAGGATAAAGTAACTAAAACTAACTAAAACTACACATATTATAAACAAACTAAAACTACACATATTATAAAGAAACTAAAACTGCACATATTATAAAGTAACTAAGACTGCACAAAGTATAAAGTAACTAAAACTAAACAAATTATAAGGTAGCTAAGACTGCACAAAGTATAAAGAAACTAAAACTACACATATTATAAAGAAACTAAAACTGCACATATTATAAAGTAACTAAAACTGCACATATTATAAAGTAACTAAAACTGCACATATTATAAAGTAACTAAAACTGCACATATTATAAAGTAACTAAGACTGCACAAAGAATAAAGTAACTAAAACTAACTAAAACTACACATATTATAAGGAAGCGAAGACTGCACATATTATAAAGTAACTAAGACTGCACAAAGTATAAAGAAACTAAAACTACACATATTATAAGGAAGCGAAGACTGCACATATTATAAAGTAACTAAGACTGCACAAAGTATAAAGTAACTAAAACTGCACATATTATAAAGTAACTAAGACTGCACAAAGAATAAAGTAACTAAAACTAACTAAAACTCCACATATTATAAAGTAAGGGGGACTACACATATTATAAAGTAACTAAGACTGCACAAAGTATAAAGTAACTAAAACTACACATATTATTAAGTAACTAAAACTACACAAAGTATAAAGTACCTAAACCTACACATATTACAAAAGAACTACACGTATTATAAAGAAACTCAGACGTGTATAATAAATAAACTAAGACTCCACATATTATAAAGTAACTAAAACTACACATATTATTAAGTAACTAAAACTACACAAAGTATAAAAACTACACATATTATAAAGTAACTAAAACTGCACATATTATAAAGTAACTAAGACTGCACAAAGTATAAAGTAACTAAAACTAACTAAAACTCCACATATTATAAAGTAACTAAAACTACACATATTATAAAGTAACTAAAACTGCACATATTATAAAGTAACTAAAACTACACAAAGTATAAAGTAACTAAAACTACACAAAGTATAAAGTAACTAAAACTACACATATTATTAAGTTACTAAGATGACACATATTATAAAGTAGCTTAGACAATACGTATAATAAAGTAACTAAAACTACACATATCATTAAGTAACTAAGATGACACATATGATAACTTAGGCTATACGCATTAAAAAGTAACTAAGACTACACATATCATACATTAGCTAAGTCTACAAATATTTTAAAGCTTCACAATCCTATTGCAATAAATCGTCCGAGACTACACATATTATAAAGTAACTAAGACTACACATATCACAAGGTAGATAAGTCTCCAAATATTTTAAAGCTTCACAATCCTATTGAAATAAATCGTCCGAGACTACACATATTATAAAGTAACTAAGACTACACATATCACAAGGTAGATAAGTCTCCAAATATTTTAAAGCTTCACAATCCTATTGAAATAAATCGTCCGAGACTACACATATTATAAAGTAACTAAGACTACACATATCACAAGGTAGATAAGTCTCCAAATATTTTAAAGCTTCACAATCCTATTGAAATAAATCGTCCGAGACTACACATATTATAAAGTAACTAAGACTACACATATCACAAGGTAGATAAGTCTCCAAATATTTTAAAGCTTCACAATCCTATTGAAATAAATCGTCCGAGACTACACATACACATTACAGAACAATCAAGAAAACAACAATCGAGACAAACAACCGCCAAAACAGCATATATAACAAACAAGTTTTGCATGATCCGACATTAGTAGCTGTCGTGCACTCTAGGTAAGTCCTCTTCCGAAACAACTGTTTGTTAACTTTGAAATGCAAAAGAGCAGCATTGGATACAAAACAAGAAGTGTGACATGTTTTGAAATCATGTACGTTGTTGTTGTTAGTTCTGACGTCTCAAATCACTATTGAAAGTTTATATACAAGTTCATACAATCTATAGTTACCAACCCCAAAGTAAATGTTTAGAAATAATTATCGAAAGTGTGTAGTCTGTCTAGGTTTTAATATCACAACTAATTGAATCAAGTATCAATCCGCCGAGCCTTTTCCCCCTGCGTATACGCTAATGTATGCGCAGTCAGAGCTTACTGAGCTGAGGAAGGGAGACATGTAAATACAATTATATCCTAATATGAGTCTTTTACAATTGGTATTTCATGTGGTTATTTATTTAAGTTGGTGATAAATCCTACAAAGTATGTGAGATATCGTGTTTACTTAAAGGGATGTCCCCAGCCTTACAATACATTTATTACACTTACACACAGGTTAAGATATCTTTCGGCATCTTGTATCTAATTAATACTATGAAATACATATTGAGATACATGCTATATCGTGTATCTATATATCTTGAAGACTTAATTATCTAAAGTGTGTAGTGTATGGCGAAAATGGGTTCTTATATAACAACTTCCATATCTTAACCCATATCTGGACCGATGTTGGTTCAGGGATGATATTAAAGTTAGGGTGTATATTAAAAGGGGTAATCTTTACGTAGATATTTCATTAAGCTTGTGAAAAATCTTACAAAGTATAGAGATACCTTGAATGCTTAAAGAGAAGTCTACAACCTTTAAAGAAGTTTATTTCTTTCGGGTTAATATCTTTTGGCATCTTGTACCTAATTTAATGAGATATACATATTGAGGTAAATGAGATATCGTGTATCTGTATATATCTTGTTTTGCTAATAAGTGTTACGATAACTTGCCTGAGGACATAGACTACTGCCACTGTGGTTAACATCATCCTGACCGGATTTAATCACGTCAATAATCAACGTCATCCCATTATCATCTAGTTTAATGAAAAATTTAGTGCGCACATGCAAACCTACCATGGATTCTCCCCTCTGCTACGTCGTGTTCCTGGCCTTACTCGTACTTGGTAAGTAATGCTACACTGATACTTGGCTCTTCTTCTTTTGCACGAACTAACTCTATTGGCACAGTTCTACACTAGCGTAATGTTACTCTAATTGTTTGTCTATAAGACAAAAAAAATGTTGATGATCTACCGACTGCTAAAGGCTAGGAACTCCATAGATTGTATGCTGGACCGAAATGTTGGCAGTTCTTCCATTCCCTAGATAACGGCAAGAAGGTGCTTCCAAAGTACAACGAAGAGTTAAATTCACACAAGTATCTGTTGGTAGTTACACTTCCGGTTCTAGAGTCTGATAGCTCTAACAGTTGTTTTAGGCTGTAGTCAACACGGTGACAAATGATGTCGCTCTATTTAATTCCAATCGTACCAGCCGATGTGTTGAAGAATTGCGGTCAATATACTGGCCGGTTCCCTCGATTTAAGATATCATTTTGCGGAACATCCCTTACTCTTTCAAGATGTTCAATTTGGTCGAATCGTGGTGTAGGCACGGGCTCTGACATCGCTAGGACAGGGGACAGGCGGAGAAGTTCCTACAGAGGAGGGCTCTGACATCGCTAGGACAGACGGAGAAGTTCCTACAGAGGAGGGATCTGACATCGCTAGGACAGGCGGAGAAGTTCCTACAGAGGAGGGCTCTGATATCGCTAGGACAAGGGACAGGAGGCGAAGTTCCTACAGAGGAGGGCTCTGACATCGCTAGGACAGGGGGCAGGCGGATAAGTTCCTACGGAGGAGGGCTCTGACATCGCTAGGACAGAGGACAGGCGGAGAAGTTCCTACAGAGGAGGCTCTGACATCGCTAGGACAGGCGGAGAAGTACCTACAGAGGAGGGCTCTGACATCGCTGGGACAGGCGGAGAGGTTCCTACAGAGGAGGGTTCTGACCACGCTAGGACAGGCGGAGAAATTCCTACAGAGGAGGGCTCTGACATCGCTGGGACAGGCGGAGAGGTTCCTACAGAGGAGGGCTCTGACATCGCTGGGACAGGCGGAGAGGTTCCTACAGAGGAGGGTTCTGACCACGCTAGGACAGGCGGAGAAATTCCTACAGAGGAGGGCTCTGACATCGCTGGGACAGGCGGAGAGGTTCCTACAGAGGAGGGCTCTGAAATCGCTAGGACAGGGGAAAGGCGGAAAAGTTCCTAAAGAGGGGGCTCTGACATCGCTAGGACAGACGGAGAAGTTCCTACAGAGCAGGGATCTGACATCGCTAGGACAGGCGGAGGAGTTCCTACAGAGGAGGGCTCTGACATCGCTAGGACAGAGGACAGGCGGAGAAGTTCCTACAGAGGAGGGCTCGGACATCGCTGGGACAGGCGGAGAGGTTCCTACAGAGGAGGGTTCTGACCACGCTAGGACAGGCGGAGAAGTTCCTACGGAGGAGGGCTCTGACATCGCTAGGACAGGCGGAGAAGGTCCTACAGAGGAGGGCTCTGACATCGCTAGGACAGACGGAGAAGTTCCTACAGAGCAGGGATCTGACATCGCTAGGACAGGCGGAGGAGTTCCTACAGAGGAGGGCTCTGACATCACTAGGACAGGCGGAGAGGTTCCTACAGGGGAGGGCTCTGACATCGCTAGGACAGGCGGAGAAGCTCCTACAGAGGAGGGCTCTGATATCGCTAGGACAGGCGGAGAAGTTCTTACAGAGGAGGGATCTGACATCGCTAGGACAGGCGGAGGAGTTCCTACAGAGGAGGGCTCTGACATCGCTAGGACAGGGGACAGGCGGATAAGTTCCTACGGAGGAGGGCTCTGACATCGCTAGGACAGGCGGAGAGGTTCCTATGGAGGAGGACTCTTTACATCGCTAATTGTAGGACAGTAGTCCGAATTATTCTGACGTTTTATCGACGTTTTTCATATCGGTCTGTCGTCGATTAACGTCAGATCTCCGACCCTCTATAAGATGCGGGAAATATGCGACCCGCGCCCGGAGCGCACTTCAAACTGATATTTCAGAAACAAATCGTCACTTTCACACACATGTCGCACATGGATCGAAAGACCTATTCTTTATGCACAAGATGAACATACACTAGAACAGGGGTGGAACTTCCTATGGAGGAAGACTCTGACATCACTAGAACAGACGTGGGACTTCTTACGGAGGAAGACTCTGACATCACTAGACCAGACGTGGGACTTCCTACGTAGTAAGACTCTGACATCACTAGAACATGCGTGGGACTTCCTACGGAGGAAGACCCTGACATACACTAGAACAGGGGTGGAACTTCCTATGTAGGAAGACTCTGACATCACTAGAATAGGCGTGGGACTTCCTACGGAGGAAGACCCTGACATCACTAGAACAGGCGTGTGACTTCCTACGGAGGAAGACTCTGTCATCCCTAGAACAGGCCTGGGACTTCCTACGAAGGAAGACTCTGACATCACTAGACCAGACGTGGGACTTCCTACGTAGTAAGACTCTGACATCACTAGAACATGCGTGGGACTTCCTACGGAGGAAGCCTCTGACATCACTAGAACAGACGTGGGACTTCCTACGGAGGAAGCCTCTGACATCACTAGAACAGACGTAGGACTTCCTACGGAGGAAGACTCTGACATACACTAGAAGAGGGGTGGAACTTCCTATGGAGGAAGACTGTGACATCACTAGAACAGACGTGGGACTTCCTACGGAGGGAGACTCTGACATACACTAGAACAGGGGAGGAACTTCCTATGGAGGAAGACTGTGACATCACTAGAACAGACGTGGGACTTCTTACGGAGGAAGACTCTGACATCACTAGACCAGGCGTGGGACTTCCTACTGAGGAAGACTCTGACATCACTAGACCAGACGTGGGACTTCCTACGTAGTAAGACTCTGACATCACTAGAACACGCCTGGGACGTCCTACGGAGGAAGACGCTGACATCACTAGAACACGCCTGGGACGTCCTACGGAGGAAGACGCTGACATCACTAGAACACGCCTGGGACGTCCTACGGAGGAAGACGCTGACATCACTAGAACACGCCTGGGACGTCCTACGGAGGAAGACGCTGACATCACTAGAACAGGCGTAGGACTTCCTACGGAGGAAGACTCTGACATCACTAGAACACGCCTGGGACGTCCTACGGAGGAAGACGCTGACATCACTAGAACAGGCGTAGGACTTCCTACGGAGGGAGACTCTGACATACACTAGAACAGGCGTGGAACTTCCTATGGAGGAAGACTGTGACATCACTAGAACAGACGTGGGACTTCTTACGGAGGAAGACTCTGACATCACTAGAACAGGCGTAGGACTTCCTACGGAGGAAGACTCTGACATACACTAGAACAGGGGTGGAACTTCCTATGGAGGAAGACTCTGACATCACTAGAACAGGCCTGGGACTTCCTACGGAGGAAGACTCTGACATCACTAGAATAGGCGTGGGACTTCCTACGGAGGAAGACTCTGACATCACTAGAATAGGCGTGGGACTTCCTACGGAGGAAGACTCTGACATACACTAGAACAGGGGTGGAAGTTCCTATGGAGGAAGACTCTGACATCACTAGAACAGGCGGAGGACTTCCTACGGAGGAAGACTCTGACATCACTAGAACAGGCGTGGGACTTCCTGCGAAGGAAGACTCTGACATTGCTAGAACAGGCGTGGGACTTCCTGCGAAGGAAAACTCTGACATTGCTAGGACAGGCGTGGGACTTCCTGGGAAGTATGCTATAGTACAGGCGTGGTGCCGGCACGGCTCTGACATCGCTTAGCAGGCGTGGAGGTTCCTACGGGAAGGGCTCTGACATCGCTAGAACAGGCGTGGAACTTCCTGCGAAGGAGGACTCTAGCATACGAAGGTTGTTATTCTTGTTTGTGTTATCTCGCCATGACAGGTCTGAATAGATAGTTACTCCAAAGTATTTGCTGTTTTGGACTGTTTGCAGTTTGTATCCGAGCAGTTTGTAAATAAACGTTAGTGGAATTATTTTCAAGCTAGTGCATGGCAACATATTTTTCATGTTTAACTGCATTTACAAGGTGTCTTACCACTAATGTAGATGTTCAAGATATGTTTTTAAAGCAGAAGCTATTTAGTGCATACCCTATATAGATCTATATATCACGCAATGGTCAAAGAATAGCTGCACGTCGGAGTCCACAGGTCGCTGACCTATTGCAAGAAAAGAAGCGTGTCGTCCACCTTTCCCTGAGCGACCCCTAGGCCCGTATTCATGAAACTGTTTTCATGCTCAAGCATTGATTTTGTACTCAGGCCACGTGTCTTGCTCCCTTTATAAATTAATGCAATAAAAAAAAATTGTCAATGGTTTGGAAAATTATTGAAGAGACATCAAGGCGAATACTGTTTTCAATGTTTACATTTTACCTTTTGATCGTTTGACATGATTTAAGCGAGTTACAAGAAATTTGGTTTGAGCACAGAATCCATGCTTGAGCATGAGACCGGTTTCATGATTATGGGCCCTGATATCATATCAGAAGCTTCTCACTGGCTCCATTCGACGATCACGCATCGCTTCCTGTTGTGCAGAAAGTCCTCAAACAAGCCGGGATGGTGTTGCGGATTCCAAAGGAGTGTATTTTCTTGAGTAGTCTCTGGTGGGTCATTTTATCTAACGCCTTACTTAAGTCCAGGAGCACGAGATGATATATGATGTGGCAATCTAACCGCGCTCTGTCTAATATGCTGTACTTACTTGAAGTAAATAACTGCGAGCGACATAAGTCTCTAGCACGATTTTCTTTCTAAAAAATAGGTACACCGTGTGCATGTTTCAATAGCGCAGGTATATGAAGCGTATAAAGATCAGTTGGTGTATCCTTTTGACTGCTGGGGCTAGTTCAACAGCAAAAAAATCTTTAGAGACTGCCGATGGGTTTGAGTCTGGGCAAGTTGGTTTATGTAGGCTGTGTCTTCTTAGCAACTCTTCTACTCCCAGTGTCGATGATGAGAGCATCTTACCTGGAGCTGGTGCGGTGGTGGTGTTCTGTCGAGTGATGACGGACTTGAGCTACTCGTTAAGTATACCATATTTTGTTTTTGCAGCCTGTTGGATTTTCCAAGTGAAGCGAACCCAAGTGTTTCCTGTTGTTTGTTGTTGATGTGTGACCAGAGCCTTTTTGATATGCGATGGTAATCTGGGCTAATGATGTTGTGTACATTGGATTTTTTGTTGTGGGCATGTCTGATCGTTGTTTTTCCGTCTTCAGTGATCTGTAACTAGTCCAGTCGCGTTCACTCTTCACACTTCTTTTACGCGCAGTCCATGCAACGCACCATTCGTCTAGTTTTCGTGTTCAACCAGGGGTTAGTGTGAGTTTACCTTGATTGGTTGTAAGGTACATTTAATCAAGTCTTGGTGGAAGTAGTCCCACATCTCTATGACATCTCGAGAGTCCTGCGATAGAAATATGCTAACAAAGATATATAATATTTACGTTGCTGTTACTGGCGAAATATTAAGAATGAATGTGAAAATTATATAGCAAATCAGGGTTAGTAATCGATCTTAGTTTAGCCTCGTTTTGAAATATGATATTTATCTGATCAAGGTATGTACAGCATCGCTAGAAAAGGTATACACACTTATACAGTTCACTAACACTATACGTATACGCTGCTAACCTGAAGACTAACAGAAGAAATTATATTTATTTTATAGATTCTGTCTCCGGCGTGAGGTTCAGGTACACCAGTTATTACTACAGCGGATATCGATATTACTATAGAGGATACAGCTATACCTACTATTACTACGCTGGGTCGTAAGTATCGATATTTCAGTGGATAGAAATTACATAACATACAGTCTAAAGTACCGATACTTCAGTGGATAGATATTACATAGTAGTAAGTACCGATACTTCAGTGGATATATATTATACCAGGTCGTAAGTACTGATACTTCAGTGGATATATATTATAAAGAAGTAAGTACCGAAACTTAGTGGATATATATTATACCAGGTCGTAAGTACCCATACTTCAGTGGATATGTATTACACCAGGTCGTAAGAACCGATACTTCAGTGGATATATATTACACCAGGTCGTTAGTACCGATACTTCAGAGGATATGTATTACACCAGGTCGTAAGTACCGATACTTCAGTTGATAGATATTATACCAGGTCGTACGAACCGATACTTCAGTGGATATATATTATACCAGGTCGTAAGTACCGATACTTCAGTGGATATATGTTATACCAGGTCGTAAGTACTGATACTTCAGTGGATATATATTATAAAGAAGTAAGTACCGAATCTTAGTGGATATATATTATACCAGGTCGTAAGTACCGATACTTCAGTTGATATATATTATACCAGGTCGTACGAACCGATACTTCAGTGGATATATATTATACCAGGTCGTAAGTACTGATACTTCAGTAGATATATATTATAAAGAAGTAAGTACCGAAACTTAGGGGATATATATTATACCAGGTCGTAAGTACCGATACTTCAGTGGATAAATATTGCACCAGGTCGTAAGTACCGATACTTCAGTGGATATGTATTATACCAGGTCGTAAGTACCGATACTTCAGTGGATAGATATTACATAGTAGTAAGTACCGATACTTCAGTGGATATATATTATACCTGGTCGTAAGTACTGATACTTCAGTGGATATATATTATAAAGAATTAAGTACCGAAACTTAGTGGATATATATTATACCAGGTCGTAAGTACCGATACTTCAGTGGATAAATATTACACCAGGTCGTAAGTACCGATACTTCAGTGGCTATATATTATACCAGGTCGTAAGTACCCATACTTCAGTGGATATGTATTACACCAGGTCGTAAGTACCGATACTTCAGTGGATAGATATTACACCAGGTCGTAAGTACCGATACTTCAGTGGATAAATATTGCACCAGGTCGTAAGTACCGATACTTCAGTGGATAGATATTACACCAGGTCGTAAGTACCCATACTTCAGTGGATATGTATTACACCAGGTCGTAAGTACCGATACTTCAGTGGATATATATTACACCAGGTCGTTAGTACCGATACTTCAGTGGATATGTATTACACCAGGTCGTAAGTACCGATACTTCAGTGGATATATATTACACCAGGTCGTAAGTACCGATACTTCAGTGGATATATATTACACCAGGTCGTAAGTACCGATACTTCAGTGGATATATATTACACCAGGTCGTAAGTACCGATACTTCAGTGGATATATATTACACCAGGTCGTAAGTACCGATACTTCAGTGGATATATATTACACCAGGTCGTAAGTACCGATACTTCAGTGGATATATATTACACCAGGTCGTAAGTACCGATACTTCAGTGGATATATATTACACCAGGTCGTAAGTACCGATACTTCAGTGGATATATATTACACCAGGTCGTAAGTACCGATACTTCAGTGGATATATATTACACCAGGTCGTAAGTACCGATACTTCAGTGGATATATATTACACCAGGTCGTAAGTACCGATACTTCAGTGGATATATATTACACCAGGTCGTAAGTACCGATACTTCAGTGGATATATATTACACCAGGTCGTAAGTACCGATACTTCAGTGGATATATATTACACCAGGTCGTAAGTACCGATACTTCAGTGGATATATATTACACCAGGTCGTAAGTACCGATACTTCAGTGGATATATATTACACCAGGTCGTAAGTACCGATACTTCAGTGGATATATATTACACCAGGTCGTAAGTACCGATACTTCAGTGGATATATATTACACCAGGTCGTAAGTACCGATACTTCAGTGGATATATATTACACCAGGTCGTAAGTACCGATACTTCAGTGGATATATATTACACCAGGTCGTAAGTACCGATACTTCAGTGGATATATATTACACCAGGTCGTAAGTACCGATACTTCAGTGGATATATATTACACCAGGTCGTAAGTACCGATACTTCAGTGGATATATATTACACCAGGTCGTAAGTACCGATACTTCAGTGGATATATATTACACCAGGTCGTAAGTACCGATACTTCAGTGGATATATATTACACCAGGTCGTAAGTACCGATACTTCAGTGGATATATATTACACCAGGTCGTAAGTACCGATACTTCAGTGGATATATATTACACCAGGTCGTAAGTACCGATACTTCAGTGGATATATATTACACCAGGTCGTAAGTACCGATACTTCAGTGGATATATATTACACCAGGTCGTAAGTACCGATACTTCAGTGGATATATATTACACCAGGTCGTAAGTACCGATACTTCAGTGGATATATATTACACCAGGTCGTAAGTACCGATACTTCAGTGGATATATATTACACCAGGTCGTAAGTACCGATACTTCAGTGGATATATATTACACCAGGTCGTAAGTACCGATACTTCAGTGGATATATATTACACCAGGTCGTAAGTACCGATACTTCAGTGGATATATATTACACCAGGTCGTAAGAACCGATACTTCAGTGGATATATATTACACCAGGTCGTAAGTACCGATACTTCAGTGGATATATATTATAAAGTAGTAAGTACCGAAACTTAGTGGATAGATATAAAACTTTATTTCACCAGCAACTTAACGAGCTCTACCGTTTGCTTGTCAATATCTCGATAAATATGTCAGAAATGATAGGAAAGAAACTTTCATTTTTGTTGAGCAGGTACTTTGATAAGGTGCACGTTCCACGCCATCCTGTCCTGCAGTGAATGGACACCGTGTAGTTACGACCAATATTTTGTTGTAGATCGTATGGAGGAGGGATTGCCGGGATCGTTGTCGGATGTCTGATCACCGTTGGCGGCATCATTGCCTGTATCGTCTCTTTTTGTATATTGTGCAGACGAAGGAGAAGGACAGCCGGCCGACTCATCACTCCGGCCGTATACTCTCCTAATACTACCTCCGGTATATATATTTATAGACAGACCCTGTCATATTTTCTCCATAAAGTATTATACCTCTGGTATATTTATCGAGGGGGTCGATTTCCTGTGACACTAGAAGTTTGTCATTCGAGTCTGCTCGAAGGGAATAACACGTTAAAACAATATTAAACTTTTGGGCAATTAAACACCCAAAAACAACTGTTATTGTGTATTACAAACATAAATATCTTCATTGTGGCATTATTGTACAGTATGGCCATGTCCTAACATTATATTAAATGTAAATGAATGTTTAAAAACTCACATGATGGTCAGTGTTATGTCGTTTTGTTGTTTTGTCGTTCTCGTTCCGTTTTCTTTTGATTCCGATATTAAAGCAATAAATTATTATTAACACAAGTTTGAGTTAATTGGTTAATAAGAACATATAAATCAGACAAACCTCTATGGTACTGAGTTATATGTGTGATACCTGTTTTGCAGCTACCGGAACTGTCGTGATACAGGGTAACACCCCTATACTTTGGGCAGAAGGCTCCCCACACGGACTCCAGGGCCAGGAGAGCGGACATTTGCCGCCATCCTACGATATGGTTGTTGCTGGTACTACTGCTACCTCAACAACCACTGCCGGTTCCGTCGGAGGTATCTCTTCCCCAACCGACACGGATACCGCTCAAAAATTCTGAAGGCACAAAACTTACACCTGCAGTGCCTTATTGTTTAGAATCGCATTGCTTGCCTTTCTGATAATCTGATTATATGATATTTTAAAAAACAACTTTACATCATATTATATTTTTAGGGGGTTTAGAATCTCCAGAAAAAAACTATTCCTTTTCATAAAATGCCCTTATATTTTTTTCAGTATGCACTTCTCGTTATACAAACATGTTATACTTATTCATGTGTGAAGTTTTTGCATTTTAAAATTTGACTCTGGCGTCAAGTTAGAGTTCATACACAAAGCTGTACTCTTCGGAGAAAATGATACCTCATTTCCGCTTTGTCTAAGCTCATCTTATTTAACTTCATATCAGTATGTTTACATTGCTCGCCGTTGTTTTAACATAATATTTGTGTCAATAAAGTTCTATTACATTTCATTTACTTAAGTTAATTCTGTTCAGATGGCAGGGAACGAACGAAATGACAATATTGAACATTTCAAATGAAAAATTTGATTCAACAAGGAAACCGTTATACCACCAGCAAATAGAGACCATTCCTTAGTAAGATCAGATTTCGTGTGTACTTTGAAATGTTTTGAAGGAAAAAAGAATGATTCATCTATCCCATAATGTCAAGCATGTTGTTGCAGTGGATAAATTCAGGTGGGACCTTTTTAGAGAGCCTAATCAAATATATACATAAAATTAGTTTGCCATAATTGGGGATAAGATATGAACCAAGAGTTGTTCAGAAACTCTAATCGTCATTTAATACTCCGTACACACCAGGCTAGACCCTTTACTTGACTCGCACTACCTCCTAAGTGCATACTGGTTGATAGACCACACATCGTAGATGAGGTTATCCCACTGTCCTGTCAGGCTGTTGTCTAAGCCGACACGATTTTTCACCAAGTTGAAAAGTTGTGCTACAATCATAGGATTTTCAACACCATTTCTCATTCAAAGCATGATGGCAAGTGTTCTAACCATGCATGCTATCTCACCTGTTCTCTCCCTCCCTCCGTTCTCCATCTATAGAAGTACAAATCACATTCTTATTCATTGTCATACTGTGGGTATAATGTTAACAGGATTGCGTCTGTGGGGTTTTGTTTTGTCTTGGTTTCAAAGAACTGTCAAGTCTATTATTTTGGAGTATATTCCCTATATAATGTTAGAGAGTCTCAAACGCTCTGTGTTGTACCTTCAACTAAAAAAAGTTTCAATTTATTCGGCATTTCTATAACTTGGAAATGCTTGCTATTTGATAAAGAAAAATTACTTTGGAGAGTGCGTAGGCTATATAGAGCTGCATATGTTTTTCATCAAAAGAGTTCGTGAAGAAACCGTTTAAAACAAGATATGGGGAAAACATTCAATCATTATGTAAATGTGGAGGAAGTGGATATATTACAACATCAACATTTATCACAGTCTTCCAAATCGATTGAGTGTATTTTTACGTGCAAACAACCAATATGCTCAACTCAAGACACGATTTCCCAGCAAGGTGAGGAAATTTGCAGGGGTGAGCAATCGTACGATCTCTCTCAATTCCGTCTTTGCGTATTGCAGAGTTATCTTCTCTGTGGAGCAGGTATTGATTGTTACGTCATTGGTTTGCGTGAGAAAATTACGTCGTTTTCTCAAAAAATGATGACGTTACTCTCACAAACAAGTGACGTAACAATCAATACCTGCTCCAAAGAGAAGATAACTCTGCAATACGCAAAGACGGAATAGTGCTTGTTGGGATGGTGGCTTTACACACGTCTTATCAGACTATTGTGACAGGCTATTGTGTATTGGTGCCGTCCTGTCTTCGCAAAGACAATGATAATGCTATATGGTGTATTTTACTATAATGTGTCAAAATGTTAAAGAATAATAAGGCTGTTGGTGACGACATGCTATGTAACGAATATATTAAGTCAACCATTGATTTAATGATGCCATTATATGTTGAATTATTCAATAATATTTTTAACACTGGTCACGTGCCTGAGACCTGGCTCCTAGGAAATATCATCCCTGTTTTTAAGAACAATGGTAGTTTGTATGATGCCACTAACTATCGTTCACTTACTTTGGTTAGTTGTCTAGCTAAATTGTTTATAGCTGTAATTAATGAACGATTAAATAAATATGTAGATAATGTAGAACTCATTCTCGAAAAGCAAGCAGGGTTTCGAAGAAATCCTTCCACTATTGACCATATATTTTCACTTCATGCATTTATTGAACTATCAAAATATTTTAAAAACAATTATATTGTGCCTTTATAGATTTTGATAGTGTTTGGAGAATAGGTGGTGAAAGATGGCGTATTCTCGAATGTATTCCCATGTAGTTCTGGGGTCTGTCAAGGCGATAATCTTTCCCCGTGTTTATTTTCACTTTTTCTTAATGATTTAGAAGATATTATGAAATCATGTGACTGTAAAGGTCTGTCTAATATAAACGACCAGCTAGAGGAGGAATTGCATGTATATCTGAAGCTTTTTTGTGTTATATGCTGATGACACTTTATCACTATCAGACGCGGCAGAGGATTTGCAAATTCCAACCTATGCCTATGGCATCCTAAAGCCAATATCAGCAAAACTAACATCATGGTATTTGGTAGAAAAAGAATTCCTGATGACTTTTATTTTACATACAACGGTACTGTTATAGGAATAGGTAAGGATTTTAAATATCTTGGAGTTTATTTTACAAAAAACTGGTTTGACACAATTTAATATTAAACAACTGCATGGTAAAGGTTTAAAAGCAATGTATGGTGCTATTTCCAAACGTAGGTATCATAATTTGTCAATAGATTGTCAACTTGATATATTTGACAAAGCCATCAAACCTATTGTTTTATATGGATGTGAACTTTGGGGTTTTTGTAACTATAAACTTATCGAACGTTTACATCTAAAATTTTGCAAATACATACTTAATGTTAAAACGTCTACCCCGAACTTTATGATATACGTAGAACTTGGACGGTTTCCGCTATAGATATTTGTCAAAGTAAGAATGGTCGGATTTTGGGCTAAATTGACAAAAAAGCAATGGCTAAAATATGTGAAAAGTGTTTTTGAAGAATGCAGTCTGATACATATATTCAATAGTCAAGAGTTTCCAAATAAACATTGACTAAAGAGTACCATATTTTATAAACTATAAGGAAAATTTATATCAAACTGGAGAAATGAAATGTATACCTCTCCGAAAGGAATCAATTATAGAATATATAAGTACGAACTTTGTTTAGAAAAGTACTTACTAGAACTCCCTCCGAAACTAGCCAAAGCGTATTGTAAATTCAGATCATGTAATACTAAGTTACCAATCAAAAGTGGTAGGTGGTCCAATATACCACGTGAAAATAGATTATGTAGTTTATGTTATTTAAATGAAATTGGCGACGAATTTCATTATCTGTTTACATGTACACATTAACCAATACTCAATAGTAGGCGAAAACATATGTCCAGATATTGTTATGAAAGACCAAACACATTTAAACATTAAACATTATTCAATTATGTAACACAACATGAATTGACATCATTGGCTAAATTTATTACCAATATTAGCAACATAATTAATTTACAATACTAATGTCCATCCTGTTCCACCATGTATTATTGTCACCCATTTGTATATATGTATTATCTACACTGTAGTTCTGTCTATGAGAATAAAACAATTGTCATTATAACCGACCAGCCCCCACCGGTGTACGGGGCTGCACGCACGACTAACCATACCAATTAGTCCCACTAATTAGCCCGTCAATTAGCTGGCATTGTTCTACTCATTCAACAATGACGAAGACTTGAGTTCGGTATAACCAATATCTATCCGATGTATCTGGTGTCTTGTGTTGCGACTTTCACCGTCCTGGTCTACTGTATAGGTATGTACAAATTAAATCTGTTGTCTTCTTGGACTTCTAACTGTCTTTCTAATGTTCGTGTGCCAAAGAGTTTGGACTTTTAGTAAATAATAGTGTGTTCTTGGTTGAAATAGATAGGTGATCCTGCTCAGCGGCGAATCGCTGTTCCGCCAAAATCAGTGAGACCCGTAAGGCCATTTCCCACCTTTAAAAGCTTTTTGTTGATTCTATTTTTTTCGTGTATGTTATTACGACTGAAGCTATTATTCCTTCTTCAAGAAATCCTTATCTGCTACTGACATCACAGTAGCGACGTAAACGGGCACCTGATGTACTATGCCTTACCATAATCATAATTTCCCCCATTATACATTGATATGTAAAGCTGACAATGCTAAAGATATTACGTGAGTATCTGTGATTAGCACTCATTCAAGGTTACTGACCAAAATATTCCAAAACATATAAAATTGTCATACAAAACATACTTCCTTTAATGTTATAAAGTATAAAACCTGGTCCCGGGTTCATGAAACGATCTTAGACTTAAGATTTTCCTTAGCCAATCACGTATGACGTCACTTTCATGACGTTATTTGTGTTTGGCTTAGTCAAAGCTTGAGACAATTTTGGATTGAAGTTCGTTTTATGATCCTGGGGCCTGGTCCCTCAACGTTATAACGTATAAAACCTGTTCCCTCAAAGTTTTTTTGTTTAAAACCTGGACCCTTATCAAAACTGCTAAATTATGACCCCTTCACGTTAAAACTGACGACAAATTACATAGTACAAAATTCCCTTTAGCGTTATAACGTATAAAACCAGGTCCCTCAACGTTATTATGTATAAAAACTTGACCTCTAAACTTTATTATATATAAAAAGTGACCTCAAAACGTTATTATGTATAAAACGTGACCTCTAAACGGTATTATATATATAAAACGTGACCTCAAAACGTTATTATATTTATAAAACGTGACCTCAAAACGTCATTATTTATAAAACGTGACCTCAAAACGTTATTATTTATAAAACGTGACCTCTAAACGTTATAATGTTTAAAAGGTGACCTGTAAACGTTATTATTTGACCTTTAAACTTTTTAATTTATAAAACGTGACCTCTAAACGTTATTATTTATAAAACGTGACCTCTAAACGTTATTATTTATAAAACGTGACCTCTAAACGTTATTATTTGTAAAATGTGACCTCTAAACAATATTATTTATAAAACGTGACCTCTAAACGTTATTATTTATAAAACGTGACCTCTAAACGTTATTATTTATAAAACGTGACCTCTAAAGTTAGTATTTGTAAAACGTGACCTCTTAACGTTAATATTTGTAAAACGTGACCTCTAAACGTTATTACGAATAAACGACCGCGAGCGAAAGTGAGCGTTGTTATCGCTGGATACCGAGGATGTCCATCCCGTTATTACGTATTATAACATCTCAAATGTATATTCCTTATCATCACTCCATTGTCGTGTACACAGGTACGACAGTGGCCGACTGTTCCTATCTCATTAAACACTACGACAATAGGACAGCTACCTACAGGGAAGACATCCGGTACAGGGACTGTCGCCGGACTGAGGAATGCTGTGGGAACTACACAGACCGACGATGTTGTCTCCTCAAATCTCAGTAAGACTTCTATATTGGAGATTGGAGGAGCCAAATTTAGCGTTTTACTTAATGAAAATGAACAAAGACTGAAGAAAGTCTCGTTTCCATAAAATGTAACGTGACAATAGATTAAGCATTTATAACTACTTTATCTGCAGCTCTAATCTAACTCCGTGAGTTTTGCAAGTGAGGATAGTGTGAGACGATACCATAGGCCTACAATGTTGAAGTCGATCTCATGAGTGAAGTATCTTATTCCGTCTTTGCGTATTGCAGAGTTATCTTCTCTTGGGAGCAGGTATTAATTGTTACGCCATTGGTTTGTGTGAGAAAATTGCGTCGTTTTCTCAAAAATTGATGACGTTACTCTCACAAACAAATGACGTAACAATCAATACCTGCTCTCAAGAGAAGATAACTCTGCAATGCGAAAAGACGGAATAAAGGTCATGCACACTTTAACTGGAGTTTATTACACACTTTGTATAGAGGATCCGTCATTCCAGAACATCCGGCAGATTAAATTAGACCTATCAGTACATCTCAGATCACTTACATCTATCCTTACGGATATAGACACGCAATTTATATTTCCGTTTTGACTGATTTGCTCTCAAGTTTCACACGTCCTTAAATGATCTTAGCTGTTAATATGACGTTAAACAATATAAAACCAAAACCAAAAATCAAGTTTGAAGATGGTAACATCACTATTGTAATGTTTTGGGGGGGTTTTTTCGCAGAGAAATGACATCTCCGAAAAGTGAAGGCAGCCAGCATGCGCCTGCGTTGTTGCTCGCAGGGATCACGACAGCATTGATAGTGATCGGGGTGATCGCCATCTTCTGTTGGCGTTTAGTCTGTATCTCTGCCTACAAGGAAGCTTCCGGCGCACGTGGTTCTAACCTACGTCTCAGACGGGGTCAAACGTCATGTATACAAGGTACAGTGTTTTGTCCCATGTTTCTTCGCCATCGAATAAATGTTGTTGTTTTTTTTTTAAATATTTTTTGCGCTTGTGCTTCTTCGAGCCCTTATATGTTTTTATATATAGATACCAGAATTACATTAATATATAACTTTGTCGAAATGTTGAGTTCAGTTCTTGAAAGTAAACTAAAAAGAATATCAGGATGGGTTTGCAACGTGCCTAAGTTTCATAATAATGCTGATAAAATAGTTGTTTTGTTCGTTTGCTGTTCGATTCTTTGAATGTTTTCAGTATATATATATATTGCTTAGATGGAAAATGAAATCAAGTTTAATTGAATTGAATTGAATATAAATAAAGTCATTTAGAATCGTGATTATTTTTAAATTCTCTGATGTCTTGATGTCGGAATAGCGTCAAATCTATCTATAAATAATCACATTTCATGTGTTGTTACACAGACAATAATGCCGACAATCATCATCAAGAGCGAGGTCACAGACAACATCCGGGGTCACTCGGAAACGGTCAACACCTCGGAGTAACGTCCTTTAGTCTACAATACACCTTACCAGTAGTCCTTCCGGACGAGTACCTCGCAGGTCCCCACCCCCCGGCGTATACAAAGGATGTCCCCGCCCCAGCGTCCAAGTACATAGCTCCGCCCTCATACGAAGACAGTGTTAAGTCCAAAGGTAGTTATATCCCATACTTTATAATAAACTAGTTTCGAAGAAATCCTCCACAGTATGATGCTAAAAAGCAAATCAAATATCGTTATATATCCCGAGGATAGTTTGAACATCCATTTTATTCGTTCGTCACGCAACATTCTCCTGAGACTATCTATGAGACTACGACATTTACATGTATAAAGTAGTGCCGTCAATGTTTCGGGGCGAGGGTTTTCGAATGCGCTGTTTCTCATACTAAAAGTAGCTAGGTCACTGTGACTATTTAAGATACTAAATGTTAAATATCCCAATCACCAAAATTGGTATAGTTGTACAAGTTGACAGCCTTTAACAGGAATAAGGTTCACCCATTAATTTGATATTCACTCAATATATATATTGAGTCCGTAAGGATCATTTTTCTGAGTTATACTATATACATATGGCAATAAGTGTGTCTTTGAGTTACGAGTACAACAGCAACGTTTTGATCAGGAAGCCTCTATCGGTTCCATTGGTAATCTTGATGAAAGGCTTCCGACTCCTGCGGAGATAGAGTCAACTTCCGAGAAAACGTCTGTTTTACATGAAAATACATTTTATATACGCTTTATGCAGGAAACAGTTCAATCCCGGAAGGTAATATTAGCGCATGTTACCCCCATGTTAACGTATTGGACATACTGCAAAATGGAAACAAAAATGATTATTCTTACTTAAATGATGTTGTGAGAGGAGAACATGGAAAGAATCATAATTACATCTTTATATTCACTGTTTGTGATCGCAATTAATATAACCCTCATAGCTGGTTGGTCTTTTTTTTTGTTTTCGCCCAATGACAAAATACAACGTGGGCCTAAAATATACCATGTGATGATGAAAAAAAGTGTGAATAGTAAGATTTTTGTGTAACCTATGTTTTAGAATGTGATCCTCCTCCAGTATACACACTGAATATCACAGACGACAGAATAGACACGTGCTCGAGTCATGTACATGTAGATATGCACCAGGACGAAGGATGGCCACGTGGTCAAGCGAATTAGCATGGAAAAGGAGGAAGTAACGGTGCGGACGGGTTTATTTTACGGAAATAGGTACAGGAGAAGGAATGAAGAGGAAAGGGAAGGGTAGAGGTGTTCGATAAAGGCCGTGAAGAAAACTTTGTTTTGATAACTACATATATATTGCATGAAAAAGAACACGTACATATTGAACGCGTGAATATAAGTGATGGGGTGATGAACATTTCATCAAAATTTCAGTGAAAGTATGGGCGAATGATTTATTTATGAGAAAATGTGTTAACATGGAAAACATGCTATAACAGCACTTGACATAACAAGCGTGTTTGTTCCAGATAACATTACAAATCTTAACAGATGACAACACTTGACATTACAAAGTATGTATAACACTCGACATTGCAGTGTGTAGCACGTCTGTATTATGGGCGTATTTATAAAACTCGTAAATGCTATTTATTAGTTCATTTACTTTTTTGATCTTCCATTTTCACCAAAAATATATTAGACCGTGTAATACAGGTCGTTAATCAAATACAGGTGAACTTTTCATAATTATTCTTCATGAATAGTGTCATGGGTTGTTCATTGTTCCAGTGAACTAGAGAAATGTGTGATTCTGTACCAGTGAACAGTGATATGTATGGATCATAAACAGTAAACTATTGAACAAGTGTCATATGTAGTTCATTCAAGTGAATTTGTAATAGGTGTGGTTCAAACCCAGTGAACTAATGATATGTATATTTCATTACCGGTGAACTAGTGATATGTGTGGTTCAGTACCGGTGAACTAGTGATATGTGTGAGTTAGAATCAGTTAACTAAAGGGTTATCGGAAACTCAGTATCACTGAACAATGGTCAAGTAGTTCGGTATAAGTGAACTAGTGATATGTATATTTCAGTACCGGTGAACTAGTGATATGTGTGGTTCAGTTCCGGTGAACTAGTGATATGTGTGGTTCAGTTCCGGTGAACTAGTGATATGTGTGGTTCAGTACCGGTGAACTAGTGATATGTGTGGTTCAGTACCGGTGACCTAGTGATATGTGTGGTTCAGTACCGGTGAACTAGTGATGTGTGTGGTTCAGTACCGGTGAACTAGTGGTATGTATATTTCAGTACCGGTGAACTAGTGATATGTTTATTTCAGTACCGGTGAACTAGTGATATGTGTGGTTTAGTACCAGTGAACTAGTGATATGTATATTTCAGTACCGGTGAACTAGCGATATGTGTGGTTCAGTACCGGTGAACTAGTGATATCAGTGGTTCAGTACCGGGGAACTAGTGATATGTGTGGTTTAGTACCAGTGAACTAGTGATATGTATATTTCAGTACCGGTGAACTAGTGATATGTGTGGTTTAGTACCAGTGAACTAGTGATATGTATGTTTCAGTACATATGTGTGGTTCAGTACCGGTGAACTAGTGATATCAGTGGTTCAGTACCGGTGAACTAGTGATATGTGTATTTCAGTACCGGTGAACTAGTGATATGTGTGGTTTAGTACCAGTGAACTAGTGATATGTATGTTTCAGTACCGGTGAACTGGTGATGTGATATGTGTGGTTCAGTACCGGTGAACTAGTGATATGTATAATTCAATACCGGTGAACTAGTGATATGTGTCGTTCAGTACCGGTGAACTAGTGATATGTATATTTCAGTTCCGGTGAACTAGTGATATGTGTGGTTCAGTTCCGGTGAACTAGTGATATGTGTGGTTCAGTACCAGTGAACTAGTGATATGTATGGTTCAGTACCGGTGAACTGGTGATATGTATATTTCAATACCGGTGAACTAGTGATATGTGTAGTTCAGTACCGGTGAACTAGTGATATCAGTGGTTCAGTACCGGGGAACTAGTGATATGTGTGGTTTAGTACCAGTGAACTAGTGATATGTATATTTCAGTACCGGTGAACTAGCGATATGTGTGGTTCAGTACCGGTGAACTAGTGATATGTATGGTTCAGTACCGGTGAACTAGTGATATGTATATTTCAATACCGGTGAACTAGTGATATGTGTCGTTCAGTACCGGTGAACTAGTGATATGTATATTTCAGTACCGGTGAACTAGTCATATGTGTGGTTCAGTACCAGTGAACTAGTGATATGTATATTTCAGTACCGGTGAACTAGCGATATGTGTGGTTCAGTACCGGTGAACTAGTGATGTTTATTTAAGTACGGTGAACTAGTGATATGTGTGGTTCAGTACCAGTGAACTAGCGATATGTGTGGTTCAGTACCGGTCAACTAGTGATATGGTGAACTAGTGGTATGTATATTTCAGTACCGGTGAACTAGTGATATGTGTTGTTCAGTACCGGTGAACTAGTGACATGTATATTTCAGTACCGGTGAACTAGTGATATGTTTGGTTCAGTACCGGTGAACTAGTGATATGCGTGGTTCAGTACCGGTGAATTAGTGATATGTGTTGTTCAGTTCCGGTGAACTAGTGACATGTATATTTCAGTACCGGTGAACTAGTGATATGTGTTGTTCAGTACCGGTGAACTAGTGATATGTGTGGTTCAATACCAGTGAACTAGGGATATGTGTGGTTCAGTACCGGTGAACTAGTGATATAAGTGGTTCATTACCGGTGAACTAATGATATGTATGTTTCAGTACCGGTGAACTAGTGATATGTGTGGTTTAGTACCAGTGAACTAGTGATATGTATATTTCAGCAACGGTGAACTAGTGATATGTATGATTCAGTACCGGTGAATTAGTGATATGTATGGTTCAGTCCCGGTGAACTAGTGATATGTATATTTCAGTACCGGTGAACTAGAGATATGTTTGGTTCAGTACCAATAAACTAGTGATATGTTTGGTTCAGTACCAATGAACTAATGATATGTGTGGTTCAGTACCGGTGAACTAATGATATGTGTGATTCAGTACCGGTGAACTAGTGATATGTATATTTCAGTTCCGGTGAACTAGTGATATGTGTGGTTCAGTACCGGAGAACTAGTGATATGTGTGGTTCAGTTCCGGTGAACTAGTGATATGTGTGATTCAGTACCGGTGAACTAGTGTTATGTGTGGTTCAGTACCGGTGAACTAGTGATATGTGTTGTTCAGCACCGGTGAACTAGTAATATGTGTGGTTCAGTACCGGTGAACTAGTGATATAAGTGGTTCATTACCGGTGAACTAATGATATGTATGTTTCAGTACCGGTGAACTAGTGATATGTGTGATTCAGTACCAGTGAACTAGTAATATGTGTGGTTCAGTACCAGTGAACTAGTGATATATATATTTCAGTACCGGTGAACTAGAGATGTGTGTGGTTCAGTACCGGTGAACTAGTAATATGTGTTGTTCAGTACCGTTGAACTAGTGATATGTGTGGTTCAGTACCGGATATAAGTGGTTCATTACCGGTGAACTAATGATATGTATGTTTCAGTACCGGTGAACTAGTGATATGTGTGATTGATATGTGTCGTTCAGTACCGGTGAACTAGTGATATGTATATTTCAATACCGGTGAACTAGTGATATGTGTGGTTCAGTACCGGTGAACTAGTGATATGTGTGATTCAGTACCAGTGAACTAGTAATATGTATATTTCAGTACCAGTGAACTAGTGATATGTGTGGTTCAGTACCGGTCAACTAGTGATATGTA